TTATGATATTTAACTTTATTTTTAATCATAAAGACATAGATGGAATGTCTAAGTACAGGTGGCACAAAGCTGAAAAGATCAGAAGTCCCAAAAATTTGTTTTTGACTGGCTAGGGTATTGTGATGAAAATTAGGATGAAATTTGATAGGGTTGAAGGTTCAAAAAATCAACTTCATGAGAACAGAAATGTAATACGGTTGAATAACAGATTGTTTAAAAAATCTATGGGTTTCAAGTGGGCTGCAAGTTCAATATGAGTCAACAGTAGGCTGTTAATGTGAACTTGGGTTCCATTAAGAGAAATATACCTTCCAAGAATGAGGAGGAAGCAGACCACTTCAGCAGTGCTATATTTCACTCTTGTCACTACAATTAAAGACACTGATAATAAGCTCCAGGCCTCATTGGTACCCTTTGGAGAATAGATACAGAACCCAATGGATTTTACGATCAGATCTCCTCTGTTGTGTAATCATGGGAGAAAATGCCCTCAGGACATGAAGAAACAGGTCATCAGTTATATGCCAGATGAGCTACTCTAGGTTGGGATCCTTAAATAATAGCAGCTGACAATATAAGGGCTCTCTAAGGTTTGTTCCTAACAACAAAGATAGACCAAGGCTCTTAGATGATGCCACAAGTAGTAAGTACTGACATAATGGCTTCTCTCAGCCTTCTCATCGAGGAGAACTATATTATTGCTACTGACCTTGTTGCTTCTAAGTTGTTTTACTATCCTATGGACTATCTATTACATGCTAGAATTGTATTTGAGGTCATCATGTAAAGGACTAGGGTCATTCTTTTTGTGATGCCCTTCCCCCACCCACTTTAAAAAAGTAGAAAGCCAAAAACATAGAAGAACCCATATCCCTAAGTTGCTATTTAAACAGCCACTCTTCCCATCTCTGATCCTGGGATTTGCACTCTGGTCAATAAGGAGGCAAATTTGACTCGGTGCTTTGGATTATGGGACTGAAGGAACTGGTTTCTACACTGATCTAGCCACCTTCATTACCCTTCCTTTAGTATTCCAAACAAAAGCTACTCAATATTACCTCCAGATCTACCCCAACTGCTTAGAGAAGCAGTATTTGATTCTAAGAAGTTGGACGTCAAAGGGTCCATGGAATTGAGCTAATGGACATTTGCAAGGGAATAGGTAGGCATTAGTGCAGTGTGTGTTATGGTCCATTATGGTCTATTCCACCTTCCTCTGCAAAGTGCCCAGGGAAACAGATGGCTCGGTTGTCAGGAGGTAACAGTATGTCTCTGTCAGATTTTCTATTCTGCTCTAGCCTTGGCTACCTCCTCACTTGGAGCTGGTTTGTTGGTTTGAAGTATTTTTGTAAGACTTTTAAATGCATTTTTCTTCTTTTCTCATCAATATTCTGTTGGATTTTTTTTTGCCCCTACACATCTTTTTCAAAATAAAAACCTACCCACCCCACAAATAAAAGCTTTAGGATATCCTGAGATGGGAAACCATAGCCCCAAAGCACATAGCCAACATCTTAGTTCAGGCCCTTCTCTCCTCTCATATAGATTTCTTCTATAGCCTTCTCTCATATCTAACAACCTGAAGCTGCCAAAATGATTTCCTTAAGTATATTTGACCCTATCACACCTCTACTTAATGAACTCTAGGACTTACTACTGCCCCTAGGAAAAATAGAAACTCATCTATTTGGCTCTGAGAAACCATCACAACATGGTCCCAACCTATCTCCCTAACCTCATCATTCATGACTACCCAGCCAATCCTCTGTGACCTCTCTCAAACCTCTCTCTCTCTCTCATTAACAAACAAACATTTTGGGGTAATGAGTGGTTATCTGTGGTAACCTGACCTGTCCAGGGTCACACAGTTATATGTGCCAGCAGAGATAGGACTTAAACCCAAGACTTCATGAGTTCGATGACTTACTATATATTCTCTTCCTGAGTAATAGCATCCACATTTCATAGAGTAAGAAACTAAGATTCAATGCCTTGACAAAGGTCTTATGTCTAGAAACTATATCAGAGCTCACACTTGTGTTGAGGTCTACTGATTCCCAGTCCAGCCATCTTTTTACCATACCATAAGGTATGGTCTTATGACTACATTTGGTAACTTGCAAAAATAACAACAAGAAGCTAGTCCCATTTTTCAGGACTGAATTATTTAAGAAAAAAAGGTGGAAAGTATTCTTGATTATTTAAATTCTTTCATCAACTATGACTTTTTTTATTTTCCATTTTTCCCAAGAGTATTGAAATATGCCAGTACATATTGCATTTTTTTTCCTCATGGAGGGCTGAGGTGCAGCCAACAATTCACACATTTATTATCGTCTGCATCAGCTTCCACATTATGCAACAAGCTCTGCTAATTAAACTATCACAAGACTCAACACAGCTATACAAAACTGCATAATTCAGGTTTAATGTGTATTGTGGAATATCTTCTCTGCAATACGCTGATAGAAAGTAATACCCAAAGATACCAGTTCTAGGTTTTTTTTTCATGCCATATACAAAACCCTTCATATTTCATTAGCAGGTAATTAAAGGTCATAAAAATATAATGTTCACACTGTTGGGGATAAGTGTATTGATTAAGAACAATTTAGTATCCTTCTATTATTAACCTTCCCCTCCATTTTATATGACTTAGCATGATAAGGAAAATGGCAGTGAGTTTCCAAAGATTAAGATTTTAGTTTGTTTTCATATATAAAAAGAGTATAGAGAAGAGCTATTTCCATAGGCCTGTCCTTTCATTTTAAATGATATTCTATTTAATATTTATAAAATGGGGTCATTAAAATATTTTGTTTTTACAATTCAGTATAGCCCCTATTGGCAGGGGAGGGGGTGATGGGAAATGTAGTTTTCTCCAACAAGAAAGAGAGCCTGAAGGGTCATGACAGATGGTAATTGCGTGGGATTTGTTGGATTGAGGAAGACCAAGCACTTTTGAGTTCCTCAAAGAGAAGGGAGAAGGACATTTAGTAATAGTCAGTAAATTTTAAATGGAGAGTTCTTCTACCTTCAAAATGATTAAATCATTAAAAGTTGAAAACCATCTGGATTATAATCAAATTTGTCTCCAGATAAAAATAATCTGATTTCTACTGTAATCTGATCAAATTTTAGCTATTAGGAATGGAGAAAGTGGGGAGGGGAGCAAAAGGGAACCACTGGGGACAATTGCTGTAGGCTTACTAACAATCCTATATTAAGTTCTCTCTCTAGCAATAGATAAGGAGGCATCATAAGTCTGAAATAGACAGATGATGTCTTCATAATGAGGAACTTTAACTCCCTGGACATGAGACCATGGGATGAGAGAATGCTATATTTGGAGCTGGAAAGGAACTCAGACTCATCAAGTCCAACACCTACATTTTATAACAATTCTGCCAAAAGCAAAGCATTTCCTAATTTCTTAACTTGCTTAATTACTAAGTTACCTTCAAAACCACCAAAATTAAAGTCCTGCCTCTGACATACTAGCTTTATGACCCAGGGCATACACTGAACTTACCAGCGTTTTAAGGAACCATACAGGTACAGAAAAACTGCTGACCTGCTTTAGGTGAAAGTTTTCTCACCTGAGAGCTCCAATATCAATATAATCACAGGTCCAAGTCATATCCCTATTCTTCACAACGGGAAAAAAATCAACAGACAACGGACAAGACATCTAATGTGAAACCGATTGCCTTCAATAAGTAAGAACTTATTGCTAGAGGGGAACTTTTTTGTGAAATTATCATTTTAACTGATAGATTTTGTCAAGGAGAAGAAAGCCTAGAATGATGTCACATAAACCTGAATTTAAGGACGTGTTTCAAAGAATTAAGAGAAATATATAGGATCCCAAGAAATAAAGTTCTATGTGAGAAAAATCAAGTTAGCAAGCATTGGAAACCCTCAAGATCAAAATTCTGAAGGAATAAAGAGAAAAAATAATTCAGTGGGGAGGAAAAGGGTAAATTGGATGTAAGGGTCTAAGTGGATCTGTGTGAAAACACAGGACATTCATCAAACAAAGAAGATTTTTAACCTCTGTGTACAAAGTGGAGTGGTCCACAGAGTTCTATAATTATACCAACAATCATACACACACCCTTACATATATACATATATATGTATGTACATATATGTATGCATATATGTATATGTATATGCGGGTGTGTGTGTATGTATACACCCTGTGTTCAAATCTCCCCTTTGATACTAGCTGTGTGACTAAGGGCAAGTCATTTAACTTCTCTGAGCCTCAATTTCCTCCAGTGTTAACTATCTTGGAATAATTATCCTTAAAGTATTGTTCTATGTCTATTTTAAGTTCAAATGAGATAAAGTATATCAAGTACTTTATGTATACACTTAAATATTATGTAACTACTAGTTATTTATTGAATAAACTGGAAGCAAGGGCAAGTTGGTACAACAATAATGGGTGAATACAAAATCGAGAAGTGGTCCTATAAGTTTAGCACTGGACTATTAAAGATCAGAATGAGGCAGAGCAGGCAAAGAAAGTTAAGAGCAACAAATGTTAAAGGTTATTTATATCCTCTCTTCTCTCTTGTGACACTGCCACCACCCTAGTACATGTCCTCATCTCAGACTGAGACTATTGCCAAAGCCTTCTGTTTGGTCTTTCTCCCTTAAGTCTCCATGAAATGGACTTTTCTAGAGTGTAGGTCCAAAATGACTTCAAGCATTCACGTGATTTTATTTGTAACCTCATTTTCACTTTTGAGTTGGCAATTGTGGCCATTCATGACTATGTACATTAGAGGGGAAAAAAAAATGAGACATATGATGCATTTAAGGAGTGGCTAGTATCCTACTAGGTGCTTTACTGGTCTTGTTAACCCTATCATTGCAAAAGGCTCCTTGGGCATTTGTTGCATATTTTTATTGCTTGCCTTTAAAATTCAAAGGTTTAGCTTTTTTCCCCTGGCTGGCCGCACGAAGCCCCACGGTGCCCCACGATGCCCATGCCCGGAGTCACGGTGAAGGACATGAACCAGCAGGAGTTTGTCTGGGCCCTGGCCGCCTTCCTGAAAAAGTCAGGGAAGCTGAAAGTCCCCAAATGGGTGGACACGGTCAAGCTCGCCAAACATAAGGAGCTAGCGCCCTACGACGAGAACTGGTTCTACACCCGCCGCCTCCACAGCCTGTCACCTGTACCTCTGGGACGGTGCTGGCATGGGCTCCGAGATCTAAGGGGGGTGCCAGCGCAATGGGGTCATGCCCAGTCACTTCAGCAGAGGCTCCAAGAGCGTGGCCCGGAGGGTCCTGCAAGCCCTGGAAGGCCTCAAGATGGTGAAGTGCCAGGATGGCGGCCGGAAGCTGACACCTCAGGGGCAGAGAGACCTGGACAGAATTGATGGACAGGTGGCAGCCGCCAACAAGAAACATTAGGACAAACCACACCAGATTCATAAAAACAAACAACAACAACAACAACAACAAAAACAACAGCAACAACAATAACAAAACTCAAAGGTTTAAAACTTAAGTTTTATGTTGCAGTTATGCCCCCAAAGTATAGTGCAAGTCTTTTGGGCTCCAAGCCAAAGTTGCAAGCACAGTGATGTCACTTAGTAAGACAATAAAGATGTTAGATAAATGTCATGCTGGAATGTCTACAGCCACCATCAGCTGTGAGTTTGGTGTTAAGAAATCAACAATTCATTATACAATGCTGAAACTGCTATCTAACACAGTAAAAAGATTTGGGTTTTTTTTTTAAGCTTTAGTTTTAAGAAATATATTTGCTGTGCACTATTTATAGTACTTGTAGATTTCATGTTATGAAAAGTGAATATTGTCTGAAATCAATTTTTTTATTGAAATATTAGCACAAAATGTTTCAGAATTCCAGGGAATTACTAGTGAGAAAAATGTTTTGCGTGTTACCAATTTTATTTTGTTTATTTTGTTTTGAATTTTACAGGTTATTGCATGATTACTATGTAAGGAAAAGTGCTTAATATCAGAATTAATTTTTTTATAAAGAATTGCATGCAGAAAAGTGCATTGAAGCAATGTCTAGTGAAAGATTATAGTTTTTGGTGGTCACAGGAACCTAATTTCCTATTTCCCATTAGGTTCAATGTATCAACATTCACATTTTTTTTTAGTTTTGCACTGTTTTATAGGAACATTACCCCTGCAAAAGTTGAGGATTTACTGTTTTTGTATCCCTAGATCTGAATATAGCCATCTTATTGGTTCATAGTTGTTTACATCTTGTCTCCTCTATTAAACTTTAAGCTTGAGATGAAGACTATTTTCTTTGCTTTTGTATCCTTGGTGCTTAGCAAGATGCCTGGAACATAGTAGGCACTTGATAAAGTTTGTTAACTTTCTATCTAATAACTGACTAAGATTTAGAGAAAGGCAATGTGAATGGCAATGGTTTTGGAGACCTTGCTTTACAAGGATAGATTAAAAAAAAAAATCTGGGGATGACTCTCCTGGAGAGAAGACTAGGGTGAGAAGACAGGATCGTTGTCTTCAAACATTTAAAGTCCTCTCATAAAGTATCAGGAATTCGACTTATTCTGTTTGATTTCAGGGTCACAACTACAAAAAATGGGTGGAAACTTCAGAAAGACTAATTGAGGATTAATTAAAGGGGACTCTTACTAACAATCAAAGCTATCAAAAAATAGTCTAGACTAACCTGGGAAGTAATAGGTTACACCTGACTAACATTATCTTTAAACCAAGATTCCTTGGCAAGTATGTTGTAGAGAAGATTTCCATTCAGGTATGGATTGAATTAGATGACCCTTGAAGGTCAATCTGAGGCTCTGTTATATCTAATTACTCTTTCACATGCCAATATGTGATATCTCTGAAGAAAGCTCTGATGGCTAGATTAAGACTTTTCTTCACCATACTATGCATAGTTCCTTCATAGGTCCAAATTTTGAGCCTTTTTGACATCATGGTATCCTATTCTGGCCAGGCACTAGCATAGAGGTTGTAATACCTCTCCTAAAATTGTGTACTTTTTGCAGAAAATAGTACTTCAAATGTGATCTCACCAATGCAGAATACAGAATTGTCTCTTCTCTTGTCCAATCAATACATTTCTACTGAAGTAGTCTAAAATTGCATTGGTTTTCTGTTGCAGAAAAACCATACTGTGATCTACAGTCATTTGCAATCAACTAAAACCTCTACATTTTTTTTTTTAACACGCACAGCTTTGAATTAAGTTCTCTCCTAGCTTGTTCTTGGGTAGTATTTTTTTTTTAACAAAAGAGAAATAGAATTTCTTCTACTATATGTTTGTGTGTTTTGCACCTGGGTATTTTAAATTAATAATTAAGAATATAAACAGGCAAAATGCCCATAAACATTTCTCATAATTATAATAGCTAGATTTAAGGTTTGCAAAGCACTTTACAAATATTATTTCATCCTCACAACAACTTTGGAAGGTAGGTGCTTTTATTATTTGCATTTTGCTGATGAGGAAACAAAGTTCTATAGCTACTGTTCTTACAATAGTATCTTTGTAAAAAAAAGCCTTTGCTTTGAGCTAATTATATCTTACTGCTAACTATAAGAAAAATTCACTGGTTTGAATTTGTGAGGTATAATTTTGGGAGGTCTAGACCTCCATCCTGGAGATTCTAGCTGTCACCTATCTATTGATGAAACACAATATTGTGAATGTGATTTGTGGAAATAGTCTTTTAGACAATAGTACATGAGGAAAATGTTCCTAAAATGATATATGTCCCAAAGTCTTGGAGTTACCTAGAATTATATGGGGTGAAAAATAGGTTTTTCCTTTCTACTGTTCTTGAAATAAAGGCTGGATCATCCTTCATTAGCTATAGTATAGAAGGGATTCTTGCTATAGTATGAACTGGACTGGATTAAGGACTTACAACTTTGGCCTATGGCCTCTTTTTGAGCTTGAGCTAAGAATAGGGCTAACATTTTAAAATAGTTTATTGAAACATAGCCATATGAGTTTTAATGTATTATCTGTATGGCTGCTTTTGTGCTACAACAACAGAGTCAAGTAGGTGCCACAGAGCACTTCACACTACCACTTGGAAGATCGTGAGATACGTTGATGCCTGTATAACTCAAAAACCTGTCAAGTTTCATGTGTATAACAATATATAAGCATTTTATTTTATTTTATTTTATTTCACATTGCCTGCCCATTCTGTGAAAACAAGAAGAGAAAGGGGGGAGAGTTTCATCTCAATTTTTTTTAAGCTCAGGACTAAGATTGAATTATTTTGAGCCAAAACTACATTCATCACTATTATTGAACATTGAATTGCTTTGGAAATTAGCTTTTGCTACATACTTGATAACATTTTTTAAGGAATTCAATCAAAATACAGGGCAAAACAGCACTTATATGCAAAACGTATCGAGGTAGACTCAATTTGTTGGTAACTAAATATTGTTTGAATCAAAAGCAACGTCAAGTTTCTTTGTATACTTTCAGTGTTATCAGAAGATAAAACAAGAAGTGAGATCTCCATTCCCATACATATTTGCAATGGATATATTTTCTGAACTCAAACTACAGTTCCAGCAGCATTTTTCATAATTTGAAGCAAGTGCAAAGGAAAATTCTATACATACAATTAAGGAACTTATAACTAATCTGTAATTGGAAATGATTATCTTCAATGTAATGGAGTGGGGGTGGGGGGATGAATATATGGCATCCTAAAAGACAATAGAATACTATAAATTCCATCCAAGTGATTTTTATGCTTAATTTAAATCATAAGCATATGGACTGATATCAGTATTTGTCAGAACCTATGTGAAAAGACATATGCAAAGATAAAGTACGTAAAATCTCATGTAACTCATTACAGATCAACATTAACAGATTAACATTTGCAGTCAGTTTTGATGACAGGGGACGTTAACATTGATTTTCCAATTAAGTTAAATGTTGTTCACCTTCTATCCTAAAAAATCTGTTTTTCTCATAAGTCTACCTGTATTACAAAGAAAAACTGTATTGAAGTATTAAGAATATCGTTTTTTAAACTTTGTCAATAAAACTTTTTTGTGGAAATTTATTTTTGTCTTTTGTTATGTAAATACCATCATGCTCTCCTTATTTTTGCCTCTTGTTCTACGAAGACTAAAATATTTACTATCTGGATATTTAACGAAAAAGTTTATAAACCCTTGTTCTAAATGATCTTGAGAGTGTCTTTCATCTCTGAGCTTTTACAAAATTTGCATGGAAGGCACTTAATTGGTGAAGGTCTTAGACATTATATCATGTAAAAATCAGAGAAAGGAACTAAGAATGTTTAGCCTGGAAGAAAGAAGATATAACTTTCTTCAAGTAACTGAAGAAATGTCACATGGCAAAAAAAAAAAATAATAATAATCTTGTTCTGCTTGGCACCACAAGACAAAACTGGGAATAATAGATGGAAGTTACAATAATACAGATTCATCTTTAATGTGAAAAAATAAAAGCAAAACTGTTTTCACAATCAGAACTTTCTAAAAATGGAATGGTTCACTTTAAGCAGAGACTATAAAACTATTTTTGGGGGGGTATTATAAAAGGATTTCTTCCTCAGTATGTGTTAGATCAAGTAGTTTCTGGGAGGCGTTTCTGAATAGTACATTCCAGGTCTCCTGATAGACCAAAGTTCTTTCCACTCCACAAGAAACACTCTCAATAACTCTCAAAAGACTTTAGTAAAGAACTAAGTAAACATATTTAATAGCCTATAGTTAAATGAATCTACTACTTTAAATATATGACAGGATAGGAGGGGATTGGTATTGTTTTTAAATAAAAGGTTACTGATTAATGCATAAATGGTCAGCTTTTCTTTGTGCCAGTAACTTTCTCAAGGTCAAATCAGACTTCTTTGGAAAGCCATAATCAGAAATGGAGGGCAACAGGAGGGTATGGTAATAAGAATGTTGATTTTATTCAGATAGTCCTTAAGGTTAAGCCTCTTTCATCTGGGATGACAAAGAATGGTTGGTAATTATCCCAAGCTACACAGCGCTAGTACTAAAAGCCAAAATAATTAGCATGCTTATCTGACCACAAGAACCTTTATCTTTCTAGAACAGTGTTCAGAAATTCCACTGAACTCTCTGGGAAGTATAAAGAGAAATATTCTATTTCTTTCTTTAGTGTTCTATTTTAGTAATTAGCTTCCTAGAGCTCAGATATATCTTTTAAATACAGCACAAATTACTTTATCTGGCAAAGGCATAAACAAAACACAAGGATGAACTGGGAGGAGAGAGCTGCAAAATTTGTTCTGTATCTTAACAATATAATCTGGAAGTGTCTTAAGAACTTTCCTGGAAAAGGTGGCTGCCTAGTTGATGTGATTTAGAGAGTATCTCCCAAACAACTCTTCAGACTGCCTCCCACAATGCCTGAAATC